TATATATATATATATATATATATATATATATATATCTTCACTATATGAACAATAAAATAAAATGACATAACCCTGTCTCTGTTTGATAAATGTCAATAAAAAATCAATGTTTTATATTTTTAAAATGAAAACAAAAAGATCATGTTCATTTTATTATAAATATATGCAGTGAAGAGAATCGCGTTGCCTGAACCACATGGCCATTAGGCTAATAGGCTATGTTGTTTTTTTTTTTTTATGAAAAGAGTCAGAGAGGTGTTTTATAACATATTTCGTTTTATTGTTGACGAAAAGATGCAGAGTTGTAGCAAATTTCGTTTTATTTTTGCCTAAAATATAGGCTATATAAAGAGATAACCGGAGTAGAGCGTGATGAGTGACGCGATCAAGTACGCTCTGTTCCATTTGCAGAAGAACCCATGCGTCCTCGCATCCTCGGGAGTTCGTTCTCCCGAGACTAACTTGGCTAGTCTGAACTACCAAGGATGCAAGTCCGAAGTCTGCGTACTTGGTATTGAGAAACGGTGTCTTAATGTCTTACTAAGCATACTAGAAACTTCCAGGCAGGTGTGTTGGTTCAAGTTAGAGCTAAACTCTGCAGGACAGTGGCACTCCAGGACCAAGTTTGGACTCCCCTAATGTGTGTTCGTTATTTTGGTGGTAGAGTAATGAAGGCCAAGATGAGTTTATTTTGGATAGGGATGTGTTTGTTTGGGTGTTGATTTCAAATAATCAACAGTGTTTCTCAGAAATAACTTACTGCACCTTTAAAGGGTTAGTTCACCCAAGAATGAAAATTGTGTCATTAATAATTCAATAAATAAGTAAGACTTTCGTTCATCTTCGGACCACAAATTAAGATATTTTTGATGAAATGTGGTAGCTTTCTGTTCATCCATAGACACTCAATCACTTAATATGTTGAACAGATTGAATATAGGCTTTTATTCATATATAAACATTGATCAGTGGACATAAACAGAAACTGAACCTGCTTGACACATAATGGGAACAAACCTCTTGCATAACATGCTCAAACGTGCTGCGTAAAATAAGAATGAACCTCATTGGTTCTTACTGAAGCTCAAACGTGATGCGTAACACGAGAATGAACCTCATTGGTTCTTGAAAAAGCTCAAACGTGCTGCAAAACACGAGAATGAACCTCATTGGTTCTTGCACATGCTTGAGCTTCCATTAACCACAAATGATGTGAGTTGATGAATGTCTACGTTAATAAAAGCATAAATTCAATCTGTGCATCATAACAAAGTGATTGTGATGAATGTCTATGTTAATAAAAGCATAAATTCAATCTGTGCATCATATAAAGTGAGTGTGTCTCTTTGGAAAATGTTGGACTAAACCAGTTTTACAATCTCTTTATGAACTTTTTGAAGTGTCAAACAATGTGTCAGTTGTGTAGCTGTCTATTCAAGGACAGAAAGCTCTCAGCTCTCAGGTTTGGAATAACATGAGGGTTCTAATTTATGAAAGAACTTTAATTTTAGGGGGAACTATCTCTTTAAATCTGCATGCTCTTCTACTCCAACTCAAGAACCACCAATCATGTACCGTCAAGCATGTGGTAGTTGACATAAATTTTGAAAGCAGTGACAGCGTCAAGTGTTACATTTTAACTGAAAACTACTTCAATCCATCTAATTCTTGTAGAGTTATTATCATCGATGAAGCTTTATGACCTCTTAATTGAAAGACAACATTAAATATTTGTACATCCATACGTTTGTAAATCCTTCTATTACACAACAGTACTATTTTAATAAGCTGCAAAAAAGCAATGTTAAAAGGGTGAGAAAAATGGTGACCAGCTGCAGTACCTTTAAATATACTTCCCTGCATGCATACATATCTTAATTATTTTGTAAACAAAAAAAAAACAGTTCATAGGACATTTGTCAATACACTGAACATGTCTGACAGCAGAAAGTTATGTAATAAGGTCAAAACATTAATTTATGAATCCATCCTGACCAGAGGTTAAATGCACATTCATATTAAAAACATAAGAGAACACTGACCTACCTCCTCTCATAATCCATGCTTCAGTGCAAGTTGACAGAAACGCCCACCTCTTCCTCTGCCTGCTTCATTTACAACTGTTGGTGAAATATGTAATAATCAACCCTAAAATGTATTAAAATAATGCATAACAATATGGATATCATGTTGACTTTTACTGGTTTTAGCTGCCATGCACACGAGTAGGACGGATACAGTAGTGTGTGTGTGTGTGTGTGTGTGTGTGTGTGTGTGTGTGTGTGTGTGTGTGTGTGTGTGTCCGAAGCATAGGGGTCCGAAGCCAAAAACTCGTTCGCATGTCGTTGCACCCTTTACGCCATTTGGAAAAACTACAAAAGGGCAGAAATACCGTTGTCAGAAATGACATAATAGTTTTCTGCAGGGCTGTTCAGTCATGCAAATGCTAAATTGAGCCTTACAACAATCTATAGAAAAACATATACATCTAATAAATACATAAACAACAACCGTCAATGAAATCTCTACCTCTGCGAAACCAAATATGCATGTGCAAATACACTTTACGGAGCTGCGCGTGACAGATTCAGTCCAGAGGACACGGACACCAACCAAACCCAGTTTACCGAAACAGGAGTCCAAAAGCGCCGAACTTTTTAACAACAGTATTTAAATTGCATAATAATAACAACATGAAGTCCTTTACCTCTGTTACAGCAGTAGCGTCACGAGCACAGAAACTGATACAGTGTAATGCGTGACGCCTCACTCACGGTACAGCTCGGTGTAAGATGGCCTCAGCCCGGTAGGCGGGGACAGACCTCTCACGCTGATTGGCTTAAAGCACACTGGCATACAAACGCATAATATACGTGTTAGATAAGGTGACCATTTCTAATGCTAAACATGGAAACATGTTGTTCGTTTCACATTAAGCGTACTTCGATTCAGGCCGTGTCTGAACTGGCACTCGTGTACTTGAGATCTTGAATTAGCTTTGCACTGCAGTGTGCGTAAGGTGGCGTCTCCCATTTGTTGGTATAGGTTCCAGAAAACTGCTGCTCACTAACGCCCCCCATGCGCCCTTCTGCAATGTCGCATACTACTATCTCACTAGTGAACAGTGTGTACACTGTGTCGTATTGACCCTCAAACCGTATTCACTATATAGCCCTTAATCCTGTATTTTGTGGACAAATGTGGGCATCTACATTAAAATATCATTCCAATAAGTTCTTAGAGCTAAAACCTAAAGATGAAGTGACTTTGCTGTCACCTGGTGTCTTATTTTGGCTTATTTTAGAATGCTCTAAATTACAGTTTTACTCATTCATTTCTATGAGTGGCCATTTTTGACCCAAATACAAGATTAAGGAGGTTATTGTTTCACCCACTTAACATTGTAGAATTGAGTCAAAAAAACAAACAATTGTGTGTGTTCAGGAGGCAAACTTAGGAAAAGTAGCCAAGTCTTGTACCGCTCAGATCAAGGGTAAAATAAATAAATAAATAAATAATAATATTTTGCCCACATTTGTCCATGGTGTAAAGTATTTGAGTAAAACCAGTTACTGCACTTAAGTATTTTTTTGCCAACTTAAAATAAAATTGCGGCTTTTTTTTCTCTCAAGTGCAAGTTTACTACATCTCACAAATTCTAACTTTATAACTCGCTATTGCGAATTAATATCACACAATTCTGAGGAAAAAAGTTGTGCAAGATGTAAAAAAATGTCAGAATTGTGAGAGAAAAAAATTGCAATTACTGTATTATGTTCTATGTTGTGGGGGCGGATACAAATACAATTACATATTTCTGTAGCAGCTTATTTCTGCTACACTTTTATTTAAAAGATGAGGAAATGACTGCAAACCAGCATGTCAGTGCAAGTAGGCTTACCATTATTCTATATATCTGGAAGAGACCTTTTTGAAGGATAGTGGTTCACGTATGTCCTTTTGAGTACTTGAAGCTTAAAGGGATAGTTCACTTTGAAATAAATTTTTGATGTTTTAGCTTACCTCAAGGGCATCCAAGATGTAGGTGTCTTTGTTTCCGCAGTATTCAATTTTGATATTTTTTGGTCAAACCGTTCGTCTCCATCAGTCTTATAATGGAGGTCTATGGTCACCACCTCAAAGAGAATACACAGAGAAGTCCAAATTAAACATGATTCAATGACTCGTAAATGTTAGTACACATTGATGGCCTAAAACACGAACAGTATTTACAGTATAACGTTTTACCTCTTGTAACCACAGCCACAAAGCGCCCACGTCCTCAGATCACTTGGACGTGACTGTGATTACACAAGGTAAAAACGATATAAATACTGTTTGTTTTCTCACACAAACCACTCCTTTCTTGTCTTAGGCCATCAATGTGTATTCATATTTACGAGTCATTAAATCATGTTTAATTTTGACTTCTCTGTGCATGCTCTTTGAGGTGGACCCCATAGACCTGCATTATATGACTGACAGACACAAACAGTTTGACCTAAAAATATCAAAATTGAAATTACTGCAGAAACAAAGACACCTATGTCTTGGATCCCCTTGAGGTAAGCTAAAACATATATTAAAAAAAATAATAATTTCAACTGAGACTTGAGGGCCTGTAGATGTTTAAGAGGCTGCAGTGTCAATTGCAATATCGAGGTGTTCGGTTTTATTTCAAATTTTAAAAAAAATGTGATCGCTCTCCTCACAAATCAACCGTTTATTATTTTCACTGGCATGTCTCTATGTCGAGGACAAGTGCATCTTTGAGCCAACATTCAATACTAGTAGAATCAGGCACTCAAAGACTTTTACTCAAGTCATATTGAAATTGGTGACTGGTGACTTGTGACTTGTACTGGAGTCATTTTTAGTGTGAGGTATTTTCGGATACTCTACACCTTTGCAACTACTTTATATAAAACCATTCTTATGCAAGTTGTCACACTCAAATCAATGGGAAGATATGAATTTCTTCAACTTAAAAATTTCAAAACTGATTTTCTTAAAAGTTTATTTCTAAATGCAAATGATAAAAAAAAACTGTAAGCTTTAAATAAATCAGTATCACTAAATGGTTTAGATCCCTAATGTACAGCCCAGAATCCTTTGAGACATCAGCTATAAAAAGGAAAAGCCTGAAGTGGGAGTTTAAACACAATTCAGCCCACTTCAATGTTCAGTGTGTGCTTTAGTTGAGCACAGAATAAAGCCGGGCAGATGCACGCATATACAATGAAGACATGGCACCCTGGAGACGGACGTGCACTCATTTGACACAAACATTCATATTCTTACATATACAAACATACAAACATACATACAATCTGTCCAATGTACAAAACAGTCGCTGAAGACAGGATGCTTATTAGACAACCATTTTGTTTGGGGCTAAGAAGTGTGGAGGGGGAAAGAATAACATCAAATATCATTGTTATAGAGTCCTTTTAGAAATCCGATCTCAATTTTTTTTTTTTTTTGCTTGATGCGACCAGAAAACTCTTAACCCCAAACAGGAAATGACATCATCTTGTTCCTGAAGTCTTTCCATTGGTCTCTCGTGGTTAGTCTGACATGATGTCCCAGTATCAGTCTGATACGGCTGCTGACTGTACTAGGACATGAATGCTAGGCTCCCTGCTCTGAAGTCTCCTGGGCTGTTGACTGACATCCACTCTTCTACAGGTTTCTATAACAGTAGACATCCACTCTTCTTGCCCCGTTTCCTGGCTTGCAGCGCGGCTCTGGTGGCCATTTCAAAGACCTCTCTCACGCCATCTTTCGTCTTCGCTGAGCACTCTAAATAACCAAAGGCGTTGATTCGGTTGGACATGTCGCGCCCTTCCTCTGCCTTCACGGGCTCCTAAATGAAAATATAATTCAAAAGATATTACAAGCATGTCCAGGCGACTAGCCAATATAAACACATTTATTTTAAAGGAATGCATCATATAAAATAATATACATCTATGTCGATTCATTCCAGTAAGAGGCAGAATATTCAAGCTTGCAAGGAAAATGGATGTGATTTACACTGTGTTTTATAATCTAGAAACTGGCTGTACTTTAAACTGACAAACACACTGGAGTTTAGCATTCGCATTCAATTTTGTTGTATGGAAAGAAAAATTAAAAAGAGTAGCTTGGACATTCTTCTGAGATCATCTTATGTTTTTGAGCAGAAGAAAGCAAGTCATCCAAAGGTTTTTAAAGACATGAAGGTGAATAGCTGACAAAACTATTGAACTATTGCTTTTCAGAAGAAGTAAAAAAAAGGCCCTGCCTGTTTCATTTTGGCAAGTTCCCTTCGTGTGTGATCATCATTTCGGAGATCCTTTTTGTTGCCAACGAGGATGATGGGAACATTTGGACAGAAATGCTTCACCTCTGGTGTCCACTTTTCTGGAATATTCTCTGTGATGCATTTAAGGAGAGAGTGATCATTTCAGGTAAACTTTAACCTTATTTTAAAATCATGACAAGCATTTAATGGCTGAACAGAGTAAAACATTTCACCTGGTTTCACAGACCAGGTTTAGATTAAGCCAGGATTAGGCCTTTGTTCAATTAGGACATTTAAGTAGCTTTTATAAATGTGCCTTACTGTAGAAGAAAAACATTAACCGTGTGCATCTTGAGACACAACAATGGTACTGACATTCACAAGATATCTTAGTTCAGGTAGCTTTCAGTTAAAACAGCTCAAACATGCATTTCAGTCAGGGACTAGACTTAAGCCTCGTCTGTGAAATCAGGAGTATATCTTGTTTAAACAGAATTATTACAAATGAAACACCTCTTTCTTTGCCTGTTACCTCAGCAAAATTCATGTGCCTTGTAACCTCCCTCTTTGAACAACTCTCCTGTTTACTGGCGTGTGGGAGGGGCGATAACCTGTCACTCACATGAGATCTACCAACAGCAAACCACAATCCATCCAATCAATTCCTAATAGAGTGCCGAAGTTACGACGTCACTCTTATCCCTTTTCCACCAAAGCATTTTGAGAACCGGTTCGGAGCCGGTGCCTGCACGCAAACCAGTTCTTTGTGTTTCGACAGCCAAAGAACCGGTTCTCGGTCGGGAAAAGTGGTTCCAAAGCGGCACCAACTCTTTGCTGGACTGGAACCGTTCTTTTACCACGTCATGCTTACGTCGGGGGCTGGGGCGGGTTTAGATGTGTTCTAAACATCTTTTCTGACCATCGCAAAGCCAGGAGAAACATTTGCAAAAACACGATGGAGGTCCGCCTTTGTAATTGTTATGCTTGAAGTTGGCGCAAGCGTTTTTATTTTTTTATTTGAAACATAAGCAAAGAAGAAAACAGTCACGATATAGAACAAATAAATGGAAAGAAAAACTCCCAGAAGAAGGCATGTAGCCGAAACGCGTTGGAGTTTTTTAGATGGTTAACTTGACCAAGCCATGATAATAAAGGCTTTTTAACTTTTCTATTTGAGTGTGCCTTGGAGTTCCTTTGCCTTTTCGTTATATACAGTTTCCCATCCAAGAGCACCTCTATTTTAACCTAGCCTTGAAGTCAAGGAAGCGCTCCTTTGCCCTACTGTTTGCTTTGAATTTTTTTTTTTATTTGAAACATAAGCAAAGAAGAAAATAGTCACGATATAGAACAAATAAATGGAAAGAAAAAAAAGACACAAGACAGGGGTACCTAACTTATTAGAAAAGATTACATATCAAACGAAAAGATTAAAAGACTTACATATTTCAATTGTTTTTAAAGTTTTCTGGGTACACGAGTTAGAGATAATCCCAAAGCAATGTACTTGCAAGCGTTTCTAGCGACGTATCGATGTCGTTCCCTGGGCGCTCTAGTCAGTGGAAAAACAAACAGGTTCTGAACACCCGTTCGCAAGTTGAACCAACTCCGAACCAACTTTGAACCAGCACCAGTTCCGAACCAGTTCTTTTTGAGTGGAAAAGGGGTATCTGTAGGCCAAAACGCGGAAGTGAGTTAGCATTTTAGCACTCCCGGTTCCCTCGCTCTAAAGTCTATGGGATTTTTGAATGGGTTTTTGCTAAATCGCCTGAAATAAGGTCTGTGGTGAAAACACAGTTAAAACCTGCTTGTGTTTTTTTAAACTTTGTGTCTGCTTGTGTTTTTTTAATCTTTATATAGGCTTCAAAATGAATAATTTTGGATTAAAGCTGCAATACCTAAGATTTAGATGCCGCTAGAGGGCGCTACATTCAAAACAACAACAACGGCTTTGCTTGATGACGACGTGGAGGAACGCGGAATGATGGGAACTGTTGTTTTCAACTCCACCGTGGATAAATCAGTCAGACGGGAATCGAAAATTAGTTGTCATGGATGAGGTAAAGTTCGATTTCTATAAACGTTGCGTTTAATGACATGCTTGTTTTTCATTAAACTGAAATAACCGCAAGAAAAGTCAGGTTTAAAAGTAAATTAGTTATCACAGATGTTACTGTACGAGTCACTGGACGAAGCTATGGTGGAGAGGGTTCGAAGGGGCAGGTCTCTTGCAAGGAGTTGACGTGGCTGGTCCTCCTTGGTAACTTTATAAAAATAAAAAATCAATTTAATGTACATTTGACACATCTTTTCATGTCGTGTAAGTATTCAACCACAGCTACAGTTTCACAAAATTAACGTTAAGGGGGTCGCACACCGGACGAGAAGCTGCAGCGCCGCGTCGCGCCACATCTTTAAAATTCGAAAACATTATTATCTATAAGTGTAACGTTACACATACCGGCAGCGCCATTCGGCGTCTGTCCGCGGCACCCAGCAACAACGCCTCAGGACCGTGTTCAAAATCCTGCTGCGCCACAGAGCGCCATTTACATAGTTTTATATAAAATTTTAATTATTTTTGTCTCAAATCGTTGCTAATGGATCCTGACTTCGCCCTATGCTGCAATATGCATTTAGTTTTGCAGTCATTTACAGAAATCAGCTGCTTGAATGACAATTGCTGATGTTATTATTAGATTTTTCAGGTGAGATTCTCAATTCATTCAGTGAACGGATGCTCTGAGGTAAAGTTTTAAGAATGCAAACTCAGCAACAATTGTATTTAATTGTACAGTACAATCATAACATAGAACAGACATTATCTTCATTTCATGTCATTAAACATAACAATATTGCTGGCCATACACTGATGAGAAAGTGCGCGTCCGGTGTTCGATAACGTTACTGTGGAGTTGTCCTAAACGTGGTGCAGCGCTTCTCGTCCGGTGTGTGACCCCCTTTACAGCCAACAGTTCACATTCCGAGAATAAATGAAAAGAATAATTGTGCTCCATTCCATAACAAATGCGCGAAACAAGCTGACGTTTGTTGCTTGATAGAGGCTAACGCACAACTACAACTACCGCATTTGTCCAGGACTACACGTAGTACGAGCAGAAACCGAGGTAAGCGGATATGACGCGATTGACTGGCGACTCCCAGCTCACCCCTGCTCATACGCCCCATTTCCTTGGTTAAAATCTCAATTTTCTCGCGATTTAAACATTGTTTGAAACATTTGGAATATTGTGAGTTATCATCATAACTAAATATATAACACTAGCCTTGTGATTTTGGGATATTTGAATGCAAAAATCTTAGGTATTGCACCTTTAATTTGTAAAGATTATTATCTTGATAGACAAAACATGTAAGGGTCACAAATCTTTGTTGAACACAGATCTTATTTTTTGCAATTTTCCAAAAGCCTATGGGGAAAATGCAAAGCTTTTCGACCGAGGGAACCCATGCGCCGCTAGCTTAAGAGTTGGCCTACAGAGTGACCTCATTACTTCGGCACTCTATTGACAAAAATTCAAACCCCGTGAGAGGCCAAGATGGCGCGGTGTTAGGTGGACACGTTGTTGAACGTCTCGTCAGGAAATTTTGAAATAGGACGATTATAGCTATTATAATTTGACAGTTACTATTTATGAACGAGTAAGTGATTACCTTCTTCATTTTAACCTCCTTGCGTCAATTCATCTATGGGAAAAAAGAAAAATAGACAAACTTCGAACGTGACAGCACACGGGCCCATGTCAACTACAGAGCCTATTCAATTTGCTGAAGGGTGCGGTAGCGCCGTTTCCTCTGTGGATGTGATTGCATCGGATATTGTTGCTGATGAACACAACTGGTTCGATTCGTGCCCAGATTTGAATGATCTTCTTGCTACTCCTCTGCCTGATACTCCCTTAAAACCTCCAACAACAAAAAAACCAAAACGGGTAAGCATGGAAAGTGATGACTCTTCAGCAGAAATTCTGGCGGCCATCCGTGAGCTTTCTGGCAAATTTGAAAAGTTACAGATGTTACAGAAAATTTCTGCTATTGACACAAGGACTGAATCTACGGCTAAGCGGATTGAGGCAATGTCGTCAGTTGTGACTCAACTTGTTGCTGAGGTTGCAACGCACAAGGAATCTCTGAAAGTTGTGGCAACGGAGATTCATGAGCTTCAAAAGGTGAATAAAACCATGAAGGAAGAGGTGGGTGAATGTAAGAGTTATACAGCTGGAGATGGACTTTAAAGTTACATGGCGTGAGAGAAAAGGATGGTGAGGATGTCCGGAAAGTTGCAATCAATGTCCTTAGCAATGTAGTTCCCGGGATCAGTGATAACCTTGAGGAGGCTGTCGACATTGCACATCGTCTTGGCCAGAGAAGAAATGATGGTTCCCACAGATCAATCATTATACTGTTTGCTCTGTGTCGTATTCGTGACACCGTTTGGCATTTTGCTAGAGGCTGCAAATTTCTTTTCGAGAATAAGTTGTGACTCACGGAAGCCCTTTCACCAGAGGATAAGGGCCGCCAGAGAAAAACTTTGGCCTCTTGTTAAAAAAGCCAGGGATGAAGGAAAGAAAGCCTCCTTTCGTGGTGCATTTGCCTTAATCGACGGGAAAAGATTAAACTTCTCTGATGTAAAATAGACCAATTCGGTTCTGTGGTGCGGATATGATCTTTTTCCTCGTTGAAAGGGAAATAAGACTGGTTCCTTTCATTCCCATAGGCAACGCATTTTGGGAAGCTTTTGTTATTTCCCCGGTTGAACAGCAAACTCTGCTATGTAAGTTGATAAAGATTGACAATGTTCAGTTCGATCGTTCTATTTATTATCTATTGACGGTGTTTTTTTTTTACTAATGTTATCTAATGCTTTGCGCTGACAAGCAAGGAGGTTGAGTGCTTATACTCTAATGTTCGTGAATTAATTTTGGTTATATATTGTTCCTGTTTCAAAATAGATTTATGAGGTAGCCTACTAAATTTTTTCTTTGTAATTTTAAGTTTCATTCTTTTTCTGCTGTATCCTTAAATGTGAGGGGTTTACGTGACGCTGTGAAGAGGAAAGCTGTTTTTTTTTATTTTGTAAAAGCAGTGAGTCAGATATAATTTTTCTTCAGGAAAAGCATTCAAGTGATATGGATGTAAAATTTGGGAAAAATCAGTGGGGAAATGCAAATTTATTGTAGTCATGGCTCTAGTCATTTGGCTGGAGTTTCAATTTTGTTGCACAAATTTAAAGGGCACATATTAGAAGTTAAATCTTCTGATGTAGGCAGATGGATTATTTTAGCGATTAAGCAGGATAATTCAATCTTTATTATTTGTAATATTTATAGTTTCAATTCCTGAACTGCCAAACAGGTCTCTCTTCTCTCAGATTACCTCAGAATTGAATTAAGTACTTATCAAGTACCCAGACTCTTTTGTGATTTTAGGTGGGGATTTAAATAAATGTGTGGATGACTCCTTGGACCGGCTTCCTCCCAGAAATAACGATAGCCAGCAGTTAAGTATTATTAACATTTTATCATTATGCTCAAAATGTTCTCTTACAGATACATGGCGTTTCTTTCACCCCCTGATTTGCAGGAATTTACTTGGTCAAATAGAAGTAAGTCTTCCCAATCGAGAATCGACCTCTTCCTGATCTCTTCATCAGCTCTTCAATTTGTAAAAGATATTTCTCATTCTTTCACTCCCCTCTCAGACCATAAGCTAATTAGTCTAAAATTGTGTAGTAACACTGGAAAAACCTCAAGTTTGCGCGGTTATTGGAAATTTAATAACTCTCTCCTTAAGGATAGAACCTTTAATGATGGCATTAAGAACTTATTTTCTGGTATATTCTCTGAAAATTACAGTGACGGTTATAAAACAAAATGGGAATTTTAAATATAAATATTGAAAGGTATCTCCATTTTTGACAGGGAAATTAAAATCTCACAGCTGGCTGATGACACCTTTCTTTTTTTACATGATAAAACTCAACTCTCCAGTGCCATTCAGATTATTTTTCAGTATATTTTTCACGTGCTTCCGGTGACATAATGTTGTTGCATAAATGCGCTGACAGGTCATTTGAGGGTATTCCAGTTAAAGACACAATTAAGTATTTAGGTATTCACTTAACAAAAAATTTATTAGACAGACAACAACTTAATTTTTCTAGTAGAATTAAAAAACCCAAAATATTTTTAATCTCTGGCTATAGAGAGACCTAACTCTCTATGAGAGGGTTCTCTTGTCTAAAGCGGAAGGTCTCTTTCGCTTTGTGTATCCATAACTTTCTTTATTTGTGAATGACTGCACTGCTAAAGGTGTTAATAATTTTTTTCTTGATTTTATATGGAAAAACAGGTCTCATAAACTTAAAAAAGAAGTGATTTCCAATTGTAGAAGTGATGGGGGACTAGAAGTGCTACATTTTCACAATGTTATTAATGTGTTTAAAGTCAATTGGATTAGAAGATTATATGAATATTATATGCACATTAAACTCCCGGTTAAACTATCTAAATTTCATCAGCAAGCTCTTGTAACTGTGTTACATCCATAATTTCTCCCCACATAAATCTCTTTTGTGGAATAATATGAATATAACTGTTAGAAACAAATCTGTCTTTTTCTCTAATTGGTTTAATAGAGGTCTAATCCATGTAATTTCTTTATTTGACAATTCTGGTAACATTTTGTCTTATGAACGCTCCATGACTATCCATGACTTTCCTATTCCTTTTAAAGAATACAATACTGTGCTTAAAGCTATTCCTGCAGGTCTAGTGCAACTGATTAAGAGCCACTTATTATACCACCAAAATAATATGATGGGTTCGGCTTTGTTATTGGATGGAATTAGCATTTATGATAAGAAATGCAATAATTAACATATTCGCCAGATTTTTCAAAAAAGATATCTTTGCCCTAGGGGCAGATCTCATTGGGCTGCCTCTATTGGCAATATTGAATGGAGAAAAGCGTGGTTATTACCACATAAATATTTTATTCCTAACAAGGCCAAAGAAGTCCACTTTAAAATATTACATAAGATATATCCTGTTAATGCAACGGTGTCCAAATATATTGATATTTCTAGTACCTGTTCGTTTTTGGGTGACGAAGATGAAACATTAATACACTTATTTTTTGCAAATTGGTTCAGAAATTTTGGTCTAGTATGTTTTCTCATTTAAATAAAACCCCCATTCATGCACACTCCTTTAATTTGAAAGATATTATTTGTTATTATACTGATTCCCACACATCCAAAGAATACATTTTTAATTTTTTTATTTTATTTGGCAAATTTTTTATCCATAAACAGAAATTTATGGGATCACTTCCTATTTTCTAACATTTTTTGGTTGAAGTAGACTCACTGCTTAAATCTTTTAATTTATCTAACAATAAAAAATGTAATAGATTCCTGAAAATATATGAACAATTATTTTGTAATGGATCTGATAGTCAAGAGTAAACAGCTTTATATCATACTTTGCTTATTTTATTTGTATTATTATTTTTATTTTATTTTTAATTTATGTTTTATAATTGTGTAATGTAATATAATTATTTTTATGGCACTTGATTTGGAATTATTCTGTATAATTTGTCCTTGCTTTACCTCTTTTATGTTCTCCTGAATGTATTTGTAAATTCACATGTTTCTTCAATAAAAAAATAAAAAATAAAAAAATAAAAAAAAATTCAAGCCTCGCCCTACATGTTTTCTTGTAGGAGAAGACACTTCAACCGACACAATAGGGAAGAGAATACTATCACATATTTCATGCCAACTTTATAAAAGAAACTGCTATCTCAAATGCATGCTAAATGTTTATTTTTAATATTTGAATTCTATTTAAACCTTTTTAAATGTCCATCGCTTTATGCAGATCATTTTTATTTTTCTTCTTCACATGTTTTGATATTTAAATCGAATAAAACAGCAACATTAAAAAGAATAAGCTAGGGCAGCTGATAACATTAAAAGTGCATAGATATCGCCGTTAACACGTTCTCAGACAAGCGGATGCGATGAAACCGGTTTTGCTGTTTGTTCATGTGACGTTCGACATTAAGCCTATTGCTGCATCTTTAACTTTGTCTTTGCCATTGAAGTAAAAAACTGTTTAAACAACAAGTGAAGATTCATGAACCAATTCATTAGAACGTTTTACTTACTATTATCTGACTGGTTTTACCACTATGATTGACATATTAAAGGTTACGGTGAAACAGAAGTAGTGACAGATCTTTCTTCTGTATTGTGACGTATATCTGTGTAAAATGGATTAGCAAAAAAATAAAAAATGAAGGACAGGACTTGATTTTGTCCATGGGGTTCATTCTACTCTGCTCTGATTGGTCAGATGACCTAGTTCTGTTTGTGATTGGTCTACTCTGCTCTGATTGGTCAGATGGCTCAGTCTGTTGTGATTGGTCTACTCTGCTCTGATTGGTCAGATGACTCAGTCTGTTGTGATTGGTCTAATTTCAGCTCCAAATCTTCCTCAGCACTTCCTATGAGCAGTAATAATGGCATTGTTTGCGTGCAGTCAATGAAGACCAAAGGCTGGCATTGTAGAAATTATTACTAACCTAGATCAAGCAGGAAGCAAGACAACTCTATTTATCCTGCACTTTGATCTTTGAAACTTTGCTGACCTTGCATTCCCAAACAGATATATTATACACTACATAAAAGGTAATTTCTGAAAAGGCATAATAGGGGTGACTTTAAACACACTAAATGATTGGAGAGCTTGGTTGTTTCACCGGAACATCGAGTTATAACATTTTGATTAAATTATAAGGTTACTTTTGTTTTTTACAAAAAAATAAATAAATCTGCATATGGATGAAAACAGACTGGGTGAATTTCTATTTCATGCTAAAATAACTTTTTTCGTCATTTGAAATTGAAGTGCAATGAATGGGCTGGTAAAATCTAGGCTAGTTGTTTGTGAGGAAGTCTCACCCAAGCTATCAGGACTGTCGATGGAAAAGCACATAAGAATGACATCGGTGTCAGGGTAGGAGAGGGGTCTTAACCGATCATAGTCCTCCTGTCCAGCAGTATCCCATAAGGCAAGCTCAACCTATAAGAGAAAAGATATAGGTACATGAACAAAACATCACCACCAATAACTGTGAACCTTATTCTGTATACATCTATACAACTTTGCTACAAGTATAACTTACACCAATGTAACCACATCTATGCAATGGAACAGGACCATATATTGAATATTTTTGCTGGTAATGCATTATAAATATGATCCAAGATTTAAATTTTAGTATCAAATATGTCATTAGAGCTGGGAAGGCAGTGGAGTTAGAATTCTTGTGAATCATTACAAAATGTCTGTGAAAGTTTCCTTGAAAACACTGATTCAAAGATGGGTTTGTCGTCACTCAGTCTAATTGCATTTTTCACATATTAAAATATACTAAAAATATAAGTAAATATTGGTGTTTATTACCATGACTTACTGTCTTAGTGCATATAAATGAATATAATGAACACAACAATAATTAATTGTTTAAAAACATGCCTTTATTATTTAATAATGTCTGAGAAACAAACTTTATTTTCCTTCTTACATTAAAAAATATATTTGGCTACACGGCTGTTTGGTTGAAATGATGGTGCAAAGATCATTTTGGACTGCATACCAATGTCACAAAATACATATGCAAATCATAAATCATACTAAATACATAATTTATGAATAAATGTAAAGCCATTGGCAGCTTTCATACCTGTTTTCCATCAACCTCAATGTCTGCAACATAGTTCTCAAACACAGTGGGCACGTAGACTTCAGGAAACTGATCTTTACTGAAAACAATAAGCAAACAGGTCTTTCCACAGGCTCCATCGCCCACTATGACAAGTTTCTTACGAATGGCAGCCATCTGCTGAGGAGACACAGGCACAAGGCCAGACAAATGTAAACTTCACTCAAAGCATTTTGAGAGCAAACTGAAAAACAGCTGTTGAAGTGAAGAAAACGTTTACATTTTAAGTGACAGACATAGATAGATAGATAGATAGATAGATAGATAGATAGATAGATAGATAGATAGATAGATAGATAGATAGATAGATAGATAGATAGATAGATAGATAGATAGATAGATAGATAGATAGATAGATAGATAGATAGATAGATAGATGTGAATCATTCCAAAACCAAATTGTACTAAATCCAGATAATAGGACCAAAAATAAAAAAGATTATTGGAAATTTAATGCAGACCTTCTAAAAGATGAGGAATATAATAAAATTATTAGAAATTTGATAGAGAAAATTAAAAATGATATACATGTTGGCAGTTATAGTAGTAGATGGGAGTACTTTAAGTTTAAGGCAAAGGAGTTTTCGATACAATACAGTAAATCCAAACATAGCACACAAAAGCAATATGAGATCCAATTAGTACAGGACATTAATAGATACTGTGATAAAACTCCTATGTCTGATGCGGATAATAGCACTTTCATTAACCTTCAAGAAAAATTAGATTACTTATATCTTAAAAAAGCTCAAGGTGCTTATAAGGTCTCGGGCTAAATGGATAGAGGAAGAGGAAAAACATTTCTTATTTTAGTGGATTAGAGAAAAGGAGACAAGAGAGAAAGATAATTAATTCCTTAATGATTATTGATTCAGAGTGTACAGATTATAAAATAATATCTGAGGAAATTTATAAATTTTACTCCAAATTTTATAGCTCTGAATTTTCAAGATACGACTCCGATATTTTCCTTGGTGGTTTGAGGCCGTATATCCCCAAAATAGAATTAACCTTTAAAGAAATGTGTGCCTCTGAGATCAGAATGGCAGAATTAGATGATGCAATTAAGAAAATAGCAGTAGGGAAAGCACCAGGACAAGATGGCCTGACATCCAATTTTTACAAATTTTTTTGGGTTGACCTGAAAGGTTTCTTATTGGGGGCTATAAAGTACATTTTGAATAATAGGACACTTACACCTACAATGAAACAGGGGCTAATAACTCTCATTCCCAAACAAGGCAAAGACAAAAGGTATATCAATAATCTTCGCCCCATCACTTTATTGAACACTGACTATAAGCTGTTTTCTCATGTGATTGCTGACAGATTGAGAAATGGTCTGGCTGATGTTATAAGTGACACTCAGTCTGGTTTTCTCCGAGACAGATCTATACATAACAATATAAGATTGGCATTAGATTTGTTAGACTATAAACACCTAATTAAGGATGATGGAATTATTCTTTTTTTGGACTTTTACAAGGCCTTCGACATGGTCGAACACAGATTTCTTTTAAGGACTCTGGAGTGTTTTGGGTTTGGGAATAAATTTATTGACATAATCAATATTCTATACAGACATCAATAGTTCAGTGTCTCTGCCATTTGGAACATCTAAGCACTTTGATATAAAGAGACAAGGTTGTCCAACCTCACCGATGTTATTTATCATTGTAGCTGAATTACTAGCTATCCATGTTAAAAATAACCTGAACATCCAACCCCTAAATGTCAAGGGAAATTCATTGGTAATAAGTCAACTGGCAGATGACACCACACTTTTTTTAAAGAATGCAAGACAAATTCCAGTGGCATTAAAAGAGATTTCTTTGTTCTCTAAAGCATCTGGTTTAAAGTTGAATATGGAAAAATGTGAAATTGTAACTATTCAAGACCATGACATGATTAATATGTATAATATCCCAGTTAAAAATGAAGTCAGATATTTGGGTATTATAATTTCAAAAGATAAAAAGGTTAGAGAAACATCCAACATACAAAATATCATTCAGAAAAATAGAACTATTCTTAACAGTTGGCTTCAAAGAGACTTAACTGTTTTTGGACGCATTTTACTTACTAAAATGCAAAGCTTGTCAAGGCTTACCTACCCAGCCTACTCACTGGATATACCTGACAAATTAATTAAGAAGATCAATGAAGATAATTTCAATTTTATATGGAAAAATAAATATAATTATATAAATAAAAGTGATACAGTGAAACCTGCCAAAGAAGGGGAGTTAAATGCCATTGACTTTGACCCAATGAATGGTACCATCAAATTAAAATGGTTACAAAATTTTATTTTAAAAGGTGATAATTTTTGGTTTGATTTCCCCTTCAAAATCTTCAAAATGTTTGGTGGTATACATTTCTTGTTAAGATGTGACTTCAACATTTCCAAACTACCAATTAATCTTTCAAATTTCCATCAACATGTTCTCCAATACTGGAAACTCATATACAAACATAACTTTACTCCTCACATGGTCCCAATATGGAATAACAGATGTATATTGATTAAGAGAAAATCTTTTTTCTACGGTGAATGGATGGAAAAGGGTGTCTGGTCGATTGTTCATTTATTGGATAATTATGGTAACTTCTTAACATATGATGTCTTCATCAAGAAATACAATCTGATGTGCTCTGAGAGGCAATTTAAAACTGTAATTCAGGCAATCCCACAAGCTCTGATCACTTTAGTAAAAGGCATGCTAACATATTCTGTGGTTATTGGGAGCCCACCTTATAACCATAGATGCATATCATTTCTTAGATAAAAATAAATGTAATAATACATTTTTTAGAAATGTTCTCACTTCGATCTGCTTCCCTTCGCCATTCAAGATAAAAAATATCTTCGAAAAATTCACCAGCAATTATTTAGTGAAGATAAGAACCAGTTACCTTTCTTTTCCTATTTCACCGAAGGTAAAATGTTTACTTCAAAGTGATGAATGAGATTTATCCATGTAACAACTTCTTGCATCAAAGATTTAATATGGATGTGAATGTTTGTACTTTCTGTAATTCTGACATTGAAACCGCAGAACATCTTTTCTTTTCTTGTAGTGTAACCCAGACCTTCTAGGATGCTTTCCAGTACTGGATCACGTATGATACACAAAATATTCCAAATTTAACATATGAATACATTAAATTTGGACTTCAAATTCAGAACAGAAAAACTGAGTTTCGAGTGAATAATCTGATTTTAATGGCCAAATATTTCAAACATAAATGTCGATTTCTTAAAACATCCCCTGTTTTTAATGCCTTTCTAAATGATACAATTCTGTAAACAATCCCTGAACTGCTGTAAAACAAAAAAAGCCCTAATTTTTCATGAATACTTATGAAAACTTATTTCCTAGTGTCTACTGCTGTGTCTCTTGGTCTTCTTTTACAATTTTGTACTCCATGTTCAATTCATGTTGTAAGATTATCTGAAGACGGTTGTGATGTGCCTTGTTGTATGTTTGATATAAGATTCAATAAAAATAAATAAATAAATAAATAAATAAAAAGATGTGAATCATTCCTATAAGCAACGGGAACCGGAAACAGCTGCGGAAGTACACTTGACCGGAAGTTACACTATATCTGTGTCGCTATGTGATAAAGAAAGAAAGAAAAAACAAAACTTTACATAAATACTGACCAAAGGACGTGATCATGAAACGTCAGATTAACGAGGATCTACGTATATTACTGCGTACGAATTTCTACGAAGATCGATTTAGTCACGACAGAAACGCGTCCTGTCGCGAGGCCTGTTTCCGCCGCACCCGCGCCATCAAAACAGTCACAGCATTCATTCACTAACATATAACGCTACATTCATAAAATCATACACCATAAAACGTCAACAAACCCCTGCATGTATATACTGACATTGGAAATAAAAACATTAATCTGTTATTTATTTAAAATATAGTTTCGCACTATTAGATGATGAATCTGAAGTGGAATTGGTTGGTTAGCCACTAGCCGACATGCATCAGGAAGAAACTCCCGTTTTAAATAAACCCAATATAATAATCAAATCGGCATATCGTAACATAATGGTACAAAACTTTCATAACATTATTTTATGAACGTATATCTCACTATAATCTTTTTAAAAAACTGTAAGCGAAATGGCAATTGACTTTGCTAAGCAGATTAGACTGGGGTAAAATATAAATATTTGCTCTAACTTAATCTACTGAAACACTGATTTCAACAATGTCAGAAGAGTTTAAACTCGGGATTAGACTAACGTTACGTGGATAACTAATTAATCGATATATTTTATCGCTAATTCATCTTCTGTAAAACAGGCTGAGTTTAAACGCATAGAAAACAGTTTGGCTTAATATTAAATTGAATCATAATCATCTGAACTATTTTAACTCCTTTGTACATACTAGCTGACATGACTCATCATCATTTATGCAACTCGCGTGAAAAAAAAAATATATATATAGCCTATTACGTATATATATTTACGTTACAGTCACGGCGAGTTTCAGGCCGTTGAAATCCAACAGTGAAAAATCCACGATCTCACCATTTCCTCACCAAACACCTTATATGTTCGTCAACTCCATGTATTTAACAGTAGCACAAAACATTTAAAATAGTTACCGTTTTCTTTTTGTTGTGGTGCGGGGAAGTGTCTGCTTTCCTGTCTTTTCCTGGCTGGTTTTAAAGTCCGCCCATCTTCAGTCCTGCCACGAAACAACACCCGCCCATACAAACCATGATACAAACACACAACTTCAGCACTGAGAAGAACTCAACTCTCTTCCACTACACATAGGCTACTTTCGTGTATGTCCCATGGGTCCTGTTTTTATTTAACCTTTTCTTTTTTTTTGTTGTTGTTGTTGTTGTTGAAAAGAAGGTTTCAAATGTGCCTATTAGGTTTTCACTTAGCAAGAGAAAACAGCCATTCACTCCACAAATGTTTATTTTCACCTCAGAATAAAAAGATTAAAGGTGTACAAATGTTCATGACAGTTCTGAGGGAAAAATACAGGATATGTAAATTCAAATTAGTTTTCTGAAAAATTAGCCCTAAGATTTGTTGAGAAACTTATTTTCTCCCCAAAAAACGAATGGTTAAATGACCAAAATCTTGAGTTGTCTAAAACGTCCACAGGGCCAACATACATAGTTGAAGAAGCAAATAATTATAACAAATGGTTGACTATATTATTTAAAATTTCTCACTACATCCTAGGCTACCAACAATGAAGATTTGATACTAATTTACCAAGTCATGTCTGTCAGAGAGAATGTTTACTATGCGAATATTGCTTGATTGCCCTACTGGATTATGGTCTTCTGGTGATATGATTCTTATGAATGCACGTTCTGTCAGTTTTTAGAAGATTAATAAGACATTAATTTTTCCTTTCTTTTGGTGTGTAGGACCATCATGTGGAAAAGTCCAGCAGGGACAAATAAGGCCAACAGCACCGATTATCTATGAATGTTTATGTGTACAATATGTGCACCACACCGCAGATGTTGTATTTCCATGTATGAAATTTTAATGGTAACATATTCTTTTTATTTTAGCACAATAAATAAAGACAATTAAGAATTAAAAAAAACAATAACCACAAAACATGAACAATCTCTCACTTGTATAAAATGTCTTAAACATCCGTGTACGAATACCCGATCAGAAAGTGTTAAGGGCTGTTTATGCATTTCTCAACTTTTATCTGCATGTATATAATAATTTGACACACATAATATTCATTCACTTTTCATGCATATTCGTTCACAGAATTCAACCAGCATTCACTTAATGCAGAATAAGTCTCTTTCAATCTATTCCTGAAGTCACTTTTAATCTATTCACTTCACTTTGTGCATTTAGAACAAACACAATCAAAAGCAACCCTGCTTTTTCATTCACAGTGCAAAATCAAGCAGTCCGACATGCACTGCATTGATGAAAAAAAAGGAATCCTTCAAAAATATATATTTTTTTATCCTTCACTTATCACAGAAAATTAGGTGACATACTGAAGTCTGGTAGCCTTTTAATTCCAGCTCTGGCTCGTGGAGTTCACATGGAGGTAAGATGCTGATCCTGGTTAACCACAAGCCTTGTGTTCATAACACTGCGTAGTTTGGACCAGAAATTGAAATTGCCCAGTTTAAGATCTAGTTCTCCAATATGCTCTTTCAGAAAATTAAAGTCAAACATCATATCATATCAAATTAAGATATTCAAATAACTAATACTGCCAAAATAGATGAAAATGGTGCTAGCTGACTAAAGTAGCAAGTTAATGTGTGCTTACCATCAGGACTTTTGGGGATGTCAATCATGTTCATGGATTGTTGCGAGCAAAAATTATTTGCACTGCATCTGATATGGAACGTCATTAACACCATCCCTTTGCATTTGAAATCACAAAACACACGTACATAATTGATTATTAGGTGCACGTGCACTACCGTTCAAATAGAAATCTTTTGTAACATTATGAATGTCTTGACTGTCACTTTGATCAATTTAATAAATTCTTGCTAAATAAAAGTATTAATTAATTTAAAAAAAACTTTTGAATGGTATATTTGTACACAAATTATATCATCACCATTTAAAAGTGAAGTGTGTACTGTTTGTGACATTAAAATACTTCCTCTGGTATCAGTTTAATATGCATGCTTAGACAGCTTGCATAATGCATAATTAAAATGTTTGGATGAACTACAAACGAATCTTTTCCGAGTCAATTCATTCGTTTCGTTTTTTGAATGAACCAAATGACTCGGAAAAAGATTTGTTCATTTTGATGAACGAGTTCGAACAGGAGAGTCACAAACGTGCATCACAGAACAGAGCAAGGCCAAATAAGAAAACCAAGTGATGTGATGATGTGGTATCATAATGACACTCTCATCGCTGAAATCACTTGAGATCAGAGTAAGATCTGTACAGATGAACAGTCTAAAGAGAGATTCAGAGTCAGAGATTTGAGCTTATAAAACTTAAACTTTGTTATTTATTTATTAAATGGGCAATCGTTTCGCTTGATAAAACCCTTATTCATCGTCTGGAATCGTTTAAAGCCCTTTGAACAGTTTGCAGTTTGTACTGAAAGTGTCTTTTGGAACTTGAACCATTTGCTTTCCAATGAAGCGCATTAAATGGAGAAAATGCTGATGTTTTCATCAAAAACCTTAATTTCTTTTCTACTGAAGAAAGAATGACATGGACATCTTGGATGACATGGGGGTGAGTAAATTATCAGCAAAAGTTTTTTTAAAAGTGAACTACTCCTTTAAACTGCAATTCATCGAGTGGCCGCTTGAGGCTGGCTGCAAAAGCGAGTCAAATCTTTATCTCCCCCATGTTAAAATGTCTAACATCACAGCAGAAAAGAACAGCCTGGTGGCAAATAGTTGTTTTGATCTATGTCGCTAATTTTGCCCTTCAAGACGACTGTGAGGGGGGTGAATTTTAAATTACGTTTAAATTATATTAAGGCTTAAAGTTCTGTATAATTAAGGGCGTTGCGTTGCCACTTGAGTGACAGGTGGATTGCTGCTGCTTTCACTACTAGTCGTTTGTCTGCTGTCTGTTAGCGTGACCCTCAGCCGTGTTTGTGCTTTTTTCTGGGATTATTTCTTACAAGTTTTATACCTTCACCCATGCACACCATTGGATTCCGTCGTTCTCGATTATGGAGAGAACAACCAGCGCTGTACTTCCAATTGTTTCCCTCGCATGCGCTAATGGATGTCTGACAATTTCAGTGCTTTCTGTCCGTCCATGCAATTGAGTGCCGAAGTGATCACATCACTTTGTAGGACAACTCGGAAGCTAGCGGCGCATGGGTTCCCTCGATCGAAAAGCAATGCATTTTCCCCATAGACTTTTGGAAAATCGCAAAAAATAACATCTGTGTTTAACAAAGAGTTGTGACCCTTACACATTTTGTCTATAAAGATAATCTTTACAATTTAATCCAAAATGTATACATTTGTAATGATTTTACATTTTGAATATACATTTTTTTTTAAAAAAACACATGCAGACACAATAAGATTTAAAAAAAACACAAGCAGGTTATAACTGTGTGTTCTATGTCAGATCAAAACGGGAACATATTTAGAGGCTCTGTTCACCACAGACCTTATTATTTCAGGCGATTTAGCAAAAACCCATTCAAAAATCCCATAGACTTTAGAGCGAGGGAACTGGTAGTGCTAAAATGCTAACTCACTTCCGCGTTTTGGCCTACAGAGTGACATCGCAACTTCGACACACCCTTGACTGAGCGCGGATTTCTAGTGCACTTGAACTGCCGTTGAAAGGCCTGAAACGCATTGAAGATCTCCCTAACGAGGTACTTAGGAACCCTAGCTTGTGTAATGTTCTACATTGTTTATGTCGTATATGTTTTCAGGATGGTATTATACCATCAAACCTATCCCGAAATCTATAAAAGATGACCTTAGAGTTCCGCTGAATTATAGAGGGATTAGTTTGATTAGTACAGTCTATAAAATTTACTCAGGAGTCCTTAACAACATATTTAATGCTTTTTGGAGGCTTATGGGGGATTAGTAGATGAACAGAATGTTTTAGGAAAAACAGGTCCTGTATTGATTATATTTATGTGCTATCCTCGGTGGTGAGAGCTTGGAGGGGGGTAAAAGTACTTTTGCCTGCTTCGTTGACTTCAAAAAGGCGTTTGATTGTGTTAACCGAGACCTTTTATTGTTTAAATTACTTTCATTTGGTATTAATGGGAAATTTTATAATGCTATAAAACTCCTTTACAGAGACCCCATTGCTTGTGTACAAATAAATAATTTGAGAACGGATTGATTCCCAACACCTTTTGGGGTGAAGCAAAAGCCTTACCTGTTTGCTTTCTATATAATTGATTTAGCTCAAGAAATTAAGCAGAGAAATCTGGGTGTGCAAATGAGGACATGAATCTAAGTATTCTGCTTTACGCAGATGACATTGTTTTGATAGCTGAAAATAAAGTAAATTTACAAAATATGTTGAATATTTTGAGTTCCTGGTGTAGGAAATGGCGTCTTTCTATTAATAATGAAAAAAACACAAGTTGTTAAGTTTAGGGAAAAAAGTGAATAACAGAGTACTCATACATTTCAGTTTGGGCCTGTGTCTTTAAAATATACTTGTCAGTATAAATACCTTGGTTTTGTTTTTGATGAAAATATGAAGTTTACAGAGGGATGGAAAATACTAGCAGAGTCTGCTGGAAGGGCATTAGGTTCTGTGTTGAGCAAAATGAAACTATGTACAGATCTTGGTTTTTTGACATTTACACAACTTTATAAATCTTTGGTTGACTCAGTTTTGTTTTATACTGCAGGAGTTTGAAGAGGTTTTTGATTGTAACTCTGTTCAAAATCGTGCTTTAAGATGTTTTCTTGGGGTACATAAATATGCAGCGAAGGTAGCTGTGAATGGAGATGCAGGATGGGATCCATGTATTGTAAAACAAAGGTGTGAAATGGTGCGATTGTGGAACCGTCTTGTTAGTCTGCCTGAGGAAAGGCTAACCAAGAAAATCTTTAATTGGGACAGAGCAAATCATCACCCCTGGTGTGGAGAAGTTTTGACAATATTGTCTGTGTCTGACTTGCATATAAGTTACTATAATAAGCTCCAATGAAACATAAAGGTTGTCAGACAAAGACTGTATGAAAATATGAAAATCAGCGGAAACGAGATATATGGAAGA